TACATTCATTCATTCATTTCTTTATTAACGCACACAATGGTACATGCCGGGTTCCGCAGTGAGCACTACCCGGTGATAACAAATTACAATAATAAAGATACAGATAGATATAGGTGTTACAAAATACATAATTAATTATAATATAAAGGTAAAATACACAGGTGTAATAGGTACACAATACAATAACACAATACAATAACACAATACAATACACCTGTGTATTGTATTGTGTTATTGTATTGTGTTATTGTGTACTAAACAAAGACAGAAAGAAAACCTTTTATAAGATAATAGTGTTTACTCAGAATGTAGTGTATAAAGAAATTTTATAAAGAAAGATTTTAAAATAAAGGCCAACATATGTTTATGTGTGTATAAGTGAATTCTCTATAACTCCTACTATTTTTGTCCAATCCAAGTGAAATTTTTTTTGTTGCTCTTTATGTTACAACAGATAGTATGAACTATTTAATTTGTAGAAATTTAACAACTCTTCTTGAATTTCTTGAAACCTCTACTTTTCTCAATTCTTCAATCTCTACTTTCTCATAAAAAGTATTCCATCATGCTTGATGGAAGAATTTCTAGTAATAAATTAATAATACAAAAAGTATAACTTACTTATGTATAACCAAACTTGGCAGTGCCATTTTTATACTGCTAATGTTCTCATAAAGCAATAAGGCTTGATGCAACTTCAGTTCTGCAGTGATGGCCTGGTTGAGGGTCCATTGATGGTGGGCTAGGTGAAGATCATGCACATTTGTAAAATATGAATCCAAAGTTATTTGCTATGAGAATTACTTAATAAAGTACTAAGGCTTCATTTAAACTTCTCATTACAGTCACTTCACTCCTAGTCAGGGTCCATTTTGCAACTCTTCAGTCAATGAGTTGGCATTAGCAAGAAGTTGTTAAGGACTCAGTAGTTATTATCTTTACAACATACTCTGGTTCATCATCATTCATCTCCTCTGTTTGCCAGTCTAAATGTTCTACCAAATTTGCTAAATATTTGCATTTAGCATTGCATTTAGAAATATTCTACACATTGTGAAAACAGTATTTTTGAGATTTTTTGGGAAAAAATTTGAAACCAGCATTATTGTCAATCAGTGTAAATGAAACTGTTGTAAAGTGAGGATGGCTTGTATAACTAAAAATTTAAAAACAGTGAAAAATAGTATTAAATTAGTTTAGTTTAATTTTATATTTANCTAGAGAACAAATAGTTTAAGAGAGAGTAATATAAAAACAATAAAATTATTGTTAAATATAATTTATAAACAAGTCAGTGAAAATATGATGGATTCTTTCCATGTTTCTGAGAGAATTATTGTTAAATTTTTGAGCACAAGCTGTTCTAAAAACTGTTCTAATGTTTATTTTGATTACAAATCATTTTAATTAACTAAAAAAATTTTTAAAGCATATTTTTCATTATATCAGTCTTGATATAAATCGAAACATCTTATTTGAAATGCTTTAAGAACAAGACTTCTAAAGTGTAATTCTTAATATAATTACTATTTTGTAAGTTTTTTAGATTGATCTTATAATTCAAGCTAAATATTTTCACTTGAAATTTATCAGACTGTCACAATCCAAAGATATTTGATAAATATAGATACTGAAATATAAACATTAGTTTGTCTTAAATGTTACAATTTACAATTAATATTGCAGATTTAGAAACATTAATATTATGAAAAAGAATCTGAATTACATTGTATATAAGATATGATATTTAATTTTATACTGAAGGTAAAAAATTCTGAAGAATTATTTATCTTTAAGTTATAGAATATAATCAAAAGTCAAATTCTATAATATAGCTAGCCTTACATCTAAATCACTGGATTAATCATGTGATTTATGTTTAAGATTAAATTTAAAGAATAAGGAATTATCTTTTTATTGAAAAATATGTTTTATATTTTATAAAAGATAATAATTACAATTGTTTTATGTTGTTTTATGAATAATTTATAAAAATTTAAGTTATTATGATAACTATTATATTCTGTATTTTAAAATTTAAATATAATATTTTTCCTAATACTTGCATTAACATTTTTAATTTAATATTCTTTTATTAAAGTAACCACCAGACACCCGTAGGATCTGAATTATCACTTACAGGAGTTGATACATTAGCTAATATCCGAAGAGAAATTAAAACTGTGACAGGTTCTAAGCACGATTGGGTTAAAACTTTAGTAATGCATAATGATGCTATTTATCGTGGTAATGAGAAGAAAACTGACTATAATCTTAACCTTCTATGGGGTGAAAAGGAAAAGTGTGAATATATAGATCTGAAGCATGATTTCCAGTCTTCATTTTACAATTTTGATTCTACAATTCTATTAGAATGTAAACCAAGAACTAAAGCCTATAATTTGGAAATTAACATAAATACTAATTCACCTGAATGGGATATGCTTAATTCTAAGACTCGTCGTAAGTAATGTAGCCATTATTTTAAACTAAAATTTTAAAACTAAAGTTGTATTTACACTGCACATAAATGAAATAAGATATGGTGGAAACTTAATTATCTGAATTTGATGGATTCAGATAAATGAAATTTCAAACAATCCAAGAAACTTTCTTGTTTTTGTTTTGGGTATAATATCAAGCACTATACATTTAAAGTTTCATAAATGATCTTTTATTAAAGAAGGCATCAATATACAATATTGTCACAATCACTTTTTCACATTTAGTTAGTTCCCTGCATGTTGAAAATATTGGAACAATGCAAGATTAAGTTTATCAGAACCCACAATGAGAATACAGGACAGTAATGATTTCCAGTTATATGGAGAGTTGGAATGTTACACATTCTTTTTTTTTTTTAATCATTTTGGATAATATTTAGTTTGAGATAATTTGGTTTTGGATAATTGAGTTTCCATTGTATATGAAGTAATTTTGCCTAATTAAATTTATATAAAATATTATAGTATTACAAATGAAACATAATTCATAATTTTAAATGTGATTCATATTTGAATTCAAATTGAAAACTAAATAGAATTAATCAGTATTTTTAATTGGATCTAAATAGACCTGAAAATGAAATAACTGTTTTTAAGCAGTAAGTCTAATTAAAATCATTAAGCCAAAGAACATTTCTTCAATTCACTAGTCTTAAATTTTGCTTCGTTTATCTTATAATTTGATATTTAAATGTCTTGGTTTTCTTAATATAATAAATAATTAAGGTAAATTCAAATTAATCTGAAATACAGAGTATTCTAAAAGTAATGACCCTGCCTTTCCTACTTATTTTAAAAACAACGTTTTTAAAATAAGTAGGATTGTATTTAAATAATTCTCTTCTTAATAAAATATGTTAGTCTTAGCAAACCAATAGCCTCAAAATATTGATTCAAATGCCTTTTTCTGGATGCTGTTTGTTATTGATACCATATTCTTGTGTTTAGATCAAAATATGATTAAATATATTATAATATATTATATAGTATATTATATATATATATATACAAATTGAAAATAATGATAACTAATGGATGACTGAACAAAGCTATACATAGAAACTTATCTAAATATATGTTAATGGTCAGTATTTTAAATTGCTGTGTTGTCATCTTGGATATCAGATTACAATGCTTGTTGTTCAATATCCTCATCATGAGTTTCATTATTATTGGAATACTCTTTATATATAGATTTAAAGTATTAAAAATATTATTTATTAACTTTACTTTTCTTTGATTATTTTGTTTCAGAGGTATTCTATCTTGAACGTCATTTAGAAGGATGGGAAACAATGAATTTTAGTCACCCAGCTATTAATATAGATGCAGAAGGAAAAATTGGAATGGATTTTGAAGGTCCATTTTATGATAAGAAATATCATATAAAGAGCAAGGTATTATTAATAAATTCTTATCATCTATTATTAAAAATTTTACATATATTTCTGACTGATATGTAAAATTTACACATTTCTTAGAAATATTTATAAATAAACTTTCACATTTTATCCTATGAATCAAAAAAATATCTTCTACATTTTAATTTATTTTAATTTAATATAATTTCAAATAAAAATAAGAAAACAATATTTTAATGGAGAAATAATTAAATTTAAAACATAAAACATCTTAGTACTTTTAAGTTACAACACTCCTCAACAGCGATGCTGAAATATCAGGTTATAAAAATAAAATTTAGACATTTTGAATGAATTTTATTGACAAGTAACTTAACAATGATTACAATTAATCCTTGTAGATTATCACTATCAATATCAATCACATCTCACCACCTTAACTGCAAACTTTCAATCCCATGAGCATAGAATGACTGGGGGTTTTTCTTTGAAGAAAGTCTTGAGTATCATGTATTGTCATTGAACTACATACTGGTAATATGGTTCTGCAGGGTGCAAAATAGATGTTAATCAGTGCCAATTCTGGGCTGTAAGATGGATGAAGCAGAACCTCCTAGCCCAGACTGACCAGTCTCTCGAAGGTCATCTTTGCTCTATATGCTGGCATGTTGTCATGATAGTATTGGACTTTGTCAATTTTTGGATGAAGTTCTTTAATCTTGATGTACAAACCATCCAGTTGTTTGCAGTACAGCTCTTTGGTGATAGTGATATTAGTTGGAAGCAGCTTTATCATGATAACACCAAACAAATGCAGATCATGCCTTCTTCAGTAGTATCAACCCTTTGACATTTGCAATAGTTGGTTGACTTTTGTTCACCCATGAACACTTTACAGATGAGATTGTGAGCCTTCATTACATTGTGGCCACATTGGTGTTAGAGCAATAGTAAATGAATGTGTTCTAATGAATTTCATATTGTCAAAAATTGCTGATGTGTCTATTTCCAATGAAATATGTGATGAAATGCCCTTAGGTTACTCTACTTATATATCCACATTGAATGTCTCAAAACATTTTTTCAGTCATTTCTATAAAAAAATTGAAATTTGTAAATTTCAACTTTACAACCTGATAGATCTATTGTTATTGTATGATTGCAAATGCAAAAGTGTAAACAAAAAGCTATTGTTGAAGTTACAATAGAAGATTGTAGTAAGTACCATAATAGATCAATAATAAAATTAAAATTTCCATGATGTTGCTAATTGACCTGAATCTCTCAATTAATTATGTTGTTTTTAAGCTTCTTTCAAAAATCAAGAATGTTTCTTCTATACAGTGGATTTCTTCAGCTCTTAAAGTTTTAAGGACTTGCAGCATTGCCCCCCAGGAAACATGATTTTTTTATCCAGGGCATTTGTATTTTCTTTCCAACTTCTTAATGTCTCTGTGATACAATCTAATCTTCTCACAAGTGTTAGTTGATGCTACATACTCAAACAATTGATCCATCAATTTTTTGTAAATTGGAATTTTATAAACTCTGTTTTTACGCAAATGATTTACTTTCTCTTTATCATTCCTCAAAATATTAAAAATTGTTGGCATTTTCCATTTTATGGTGTGATTAATATACTTTGCAAGACATAATGGTTTGACTGTCAAGAGATTAGAAGGATAGAGAGCAAGTTCTCTCATTTCCATCAATCAGGAAACTTTTGTTTCATTTAGCATTGATTATAATAATTATTTAAAAATGCTATCAAGGATTCACACATTTTTTAATGTTTCTAGTTTCTGATTATAAATTTGATTTGAGATTTTCAAATTTCTAGTAACATCTTAGAATTGCATATTCTCCATCTTTCTCATAGATATTTGCAAAAAATTAATAACTAAAAAAAAGTGTGTATGTTTTCAAGACTTAAGAGAAAAAATTTATAAAAGTCATTTGTATAGTTCATCAGATATAAATATTTTAACTATACAGGGTGTCTCAGTTAAACGTTTCAGAACTTCTAAGAGGGGTAGGGTGCATCCCGATGACTCAGAATCATATAGCAATGCAGGGTCGGAAATGCTTTTCTGAAGTGGTAGATGGCGTTGCACAAAAGTTCCGAGCATTCTTGCAGGAAATTGTCATTTCGCACAAGGAAGCAGAGTTAGCCGATATGCATTTGGTGTACGGGGCTGCAGATTGTAGTGGGCTAGCCACACAGTGCTTGTACGCAGAACAATATCCAATGAGGCATATTCCCAGCCATAATTTCTTTGCAAGCGTGCACCAGAGGTTAGCTGTTTCTGTGTACATCACCACTTCAGGAAAGCATTTCCGACCCTGCATTGCTATATGATTTCGAGTCGTCAGGATACACCCTACCTCTCTTAGAAGTTCTGAAATGTTTAACAGACACCCTGTATATGGATAATTTTGAAATGTCTTGCATACATATCAAGTTCCTAACCATATAATGTTATATTCTTTGTCAATACACAACAAACCTTAAATCAAAAAGCTATTTGTTTTTAACAGTCAAAATGTTTTTAAAATGATTTAATTTCTCATCATCAACCGCCTCAGGAAATATTCTATTTAGAACAACTTATTTTCAAACATCTTCAAATCTTTAAAATATTAAACTTGTTCTTTCTTTGTTCTCTTTTTTCTCTTTACATCTTGAGAAACTTTAGGCATTATTCACTGTATTATCCCCTCTGCATTTACTTTTCTCTAACACAAAACAACTTTTAAATCCTAAATCGCTCTTGATTATCTCTTTTTTAATTTCTTCTATTCTAAATTCTATGATAAATTTTTATGATTTTTTACAATTTTAATCCTTTTATTTTAAAGAAAATTCCGACTTTTATATTATTTATTACTTTCCTGGGAAATTTATTCATTATATACTCAATTTTTTTAAAATTCTATTTTAATACAATATTGATTTTGTTTATTTATATTTTGTATATAATTTGAAATTTATCAAATTATTCAAATTTATTATTTTACTTAAAAATATTGTATATTCACTGACAGACAGATGTATTGCCTAGTTATGAAATAACTTATTCGTCTAAACTCACAAGTACTCCATATATGGAATTAAATATTGAAGTTCCTGAAGATGGATTTAAGAATATTAAATACAGAACAGATATTGCAAGAGATGGAAGTGGATTTTCTATTGTAGGAACTCATGTTCATACAGTAAGCATTTAGTTATTTATGCAATTTTGATAAAGGTTAAAGAAAAAAATTAGAACCTTGTTTATAACTAAATATAATTATTAACTAATTAAAAGTATGCTTCAACAACATATAATCATATATTCATACTAATATACTTTAGTAATGTTTTATTATCCCAATAATTTAAAAATGTTTTAAAATAACCAAGTGTTGGGAAATTTTAGGATAAACCAGAAGAAGTAAAAGAAAATCTTGCATTTGCATTGAAATTATTATCACCTTTCACAATTTCACTCAAAGGATATGAAGATTTAAAATTTTCAATGGAAATAGCAGAGAAACTTCATCCTAGGCTTGTTCTTCTATCAGAAAAAATAGAAGCTATAGTGAAAGATCGCAATCATCCTATAAATGTTCTTATTAAATCTTTAAGAAAACAATCAAAGAAACAGGTATTTAATGAAATTTATTTTATATTGAACTGATTATATTTGGCATCTTATATAAATTTATGATACTGCAGGAAGAATTTTATAGAAATGCATTTGAAAAATTGAAAGAAAATAGAAAAGAAATCCGTGAACTGCTTTATCCATTTATACAACCAACTGTTGAAATGATTCGTAATATAAGAAGAGAAGCAGATGAACGTACAAAACAAGCACAAGATAATTATGAATCTTTTACAGTTGCAGGTAAATATAAGTATGCAAGAATTTCTTATATGATGATAATTTTTTATTTTTTAAAACGTTGAATAAATTTGCAAATTTCTATAAACATCAAATAGAATTATTTTAAAAATTTGTAAAAAAAAATAACAGCAGAAAATTTGAAAATTTAATGATAAAAATTTATAATGCCTGTATCAAATTATTTGTTTAGAAAAAAAAAAAAAAAGATTACTTTTACCAAATATATGATTTTTTTTCATTTTTGCCTATTAACATCTCTGAAGATGGGTTGTAGGAACCCAAAAATGCTAGTATGATAAAGATATAAACCTTGGAAATAGCAGGTTTTATTTATTTATTTTTTTAAGTAATATAAACATTTTGAGAAATAAAAATAGTCAAACAATATTGTAAAAAAAGAAAAATTTATAAAATTTACATTAAATTATTTATTAAATTTTATGTGAACTCATGACAAAGTAAAACATATTCTATCTTTGCAACTGAAGTCTTCAATAATCAAATTTATGTTTACATTTCAGGTTTATTTATTAAGGCTTATTAAGTAATGCTATATGGCATGTGACTATTACCTCAGCAATATAAACATAACATAAAACACATGACCAAAAATAAAAGCAATAAAATACATGTATAAAATTTATGAAATTTTTGTAATATATAAAAATTAAAATTATAAGGTAAAGATAAAACATGTGTGTATATAAATAAATTACAATGGTAAATTATAAATCATTCCTTTACTTAAATTTAAAATAAGTAAAATTAAAAAAATAAAAAGAACTTCATATTTAAAGTTGCTGTAAGAGCAGGGCCAACAAGAACTTGTATGATTGTATGAGGTCTGGGGGTAAAGCAGATAGAGTAGGCTTTTTTAGCCCTTTTTTTTTGAACAAATAAAATGTGTAAAATGTTTCTTATTATATGTTTGTCAACGTGGACATTAATTATTAACAGGACAATTATACTGGTGTTAAGCTTTTTACACAAAAATTGAGGAAAACGTTCTTAAAGAAAACAGACTTTCTTTAAGAACTTTTTCCTCAATTCTTGTGTAAAAAGCTTAACACCAGTATAATTGTCCTGTTAATAATTAATGTCCACATTGACAAACATATAATAAGAAATTAAACAAGGACAGTAAGGCAATAATAATAATGTAAAATGTTTATTTATTAATAAAAAGCAATCTTAAAGATTTCATTTTCTGTTATAAAAATAACATTAATTTTATATTAATAATCTACCACTATGAGGACCCTAAATTTTCTCTGGGTCCAGGAAAAAATTTTAATTTTCCTTCCTCTCAATGGTGCCGTGTAAAACATGATAATAAAAGAACAGCTGTCTATATCAGTGGTTCCCAACTTATTTTAATTAATTAATTACAGAACCCTTTTCATATTAATAAAATGTTTTGAAACCTGACAATTTTTACTGATTATAAATAAAAATAACAAATCAAAAATAATTTTTTAACATACAAAAAAACAGATTAATAATTGAAAAGCAAATGATATTAATTTAAACTACTAATTAATGTGAAGGATTAATTTTTGTAGATGATTTCATCAGCACATGTAGTAAGAATTCAACTGAGAGAATCAAATGCATTTGATTTTTTTGCATATCTTTAAATAAACACTCATTGCGTCTAATATGGGAGAATCAAATACAAGATTTGATTCTCCCATATTAGACTCAATAAGTTTTATTTTCCACAAATGTGAGTCTGTGCATAGGTTCCTATTCCTATGAAATATTAATTTTTGAAAATTTATAAATTTTTCATACATTCAATATTTTAAACTGTTAATTAAAGCTCAAAAACTAATTTTATTACAGAACTTCAAATTTTATCACCAGAACCCTATGGTTCCTTATAACACAAGTTAAGAACTGCTAGTCTATACAAAGAAAGACAAAAATTAGGAAGTGCAAGATAAATTTTGAGTTGATCTAGGAGGAACACAGATAAAAGTATTTAGTGAAGAATATAATCCATTTAAGTACCTATAAAAAAATAGTTGATCAAAATAATTAATGTGAGGAGAGTTTTGAGAATCCCAATCTTATTTGTACCATCTCATTTGAGTTGGTGTAAGACAGATGACCTAGCATGCTAAGCAAAAGAGCATTTGAAATTTTGTTAAGAAATGGAGCTGCTACTGACCATACAGGCAGCCAGGAATTGAAAATTAGTGAAAATTGAGGACAAAATTAGATGATAGTGATATCACAAGATTCCTATTGATCCAAAAAATAATTGTTACACAATCACTCACCACACCCGGATATAGTTAATCACATATTCTGAACCAATTATGATGTGTAGATGACAAAAACAAACAAGTCTTCTGAGTCCTTCATCAGGGTTTTTAATGTTTCCTCAATGGATCTTTGGAATAAAATTCAAACAAGAGTTTGAATATAAGTTTGAAAAATTATTAAAACTATGTTGCACCTGCACAGAGTTGCCCTACCAAGACTCAATGAATGGTTAATCTGTTTCATCAATCAACTCTTGCCAGGCCATTGACAAAACTATTTCCTCTTTATAATTTATGTATGTATATGTAAAACTGGATTTAGAAGTGTGCACCACCTCCAACCATCTGAGGTGTTCTGTGGGGGGCATAGTGAGGATGAGTTTGGCCTGGTGAAAGTTTGCTACAGTGTCCAGATCTGTTGCATATGTAGAGATGGTTTTGTCAATGGCCTGGCAAGAGTTGATTGGCAACATGGACTAACCATTCATTGAGTCCCAGCAGAGTGACTCTCTGCACAGGAGCGACATGGTTTTAATAATTTTTCAAACTTATATTCGAACTCTTGTTTGAATTTTATTCCAAAACGAAGATCCATCGAGGAAACATTAAAAACGCTGATGAAAGACTCAGAAGGGGTTCAAAAACATTCATTTTTGTTTGTTTTTGTCATCTACACACTGTAATTGGTTCAGAATACATGATTAATAATTGTTACAGTATATCACTCAATCACATGCAACATTGAATAGCAAGCAAAAGGTTTATTTAAGAGGAAAAACTAATGTTTTTGATCAATTTTAATCGTCTTCATTGGGTTAATATTCTAAATATTGAATTAAAAATTTTGTAAATTGTTCAATTGCTTCCTATTCATTACAATAGAAGCTACCATAGCTTTAACTAGAGAGGTAATATGCAAAAAATGAACCTAAGCATGATAAATTTAAAATAGCGTCAGACTTCTTGGACATTATAATAGTCAACTCGTATTTCAGCTGGAATAAACCATTTTATAAGCAAGAAATAGGAGTGCTAATGAGTTACCAGTATCAGGCAACCTAACAGAAAATAGTGGGAGATTGGGTGGAAGCACCAGTGGCAAAGAAATACAAAAATAATGCAAGCAATTATTTATTGTGACACCATCACAACACTGGGCTACAATTTTAACCATATTTTTAATGTATTTAATTTAAAATATACATGACTATTGTTAACAGGAAATGTATGATGTACAGGGGCAAGACAATACTAAAATCAAAGCCTATATTTTAAATTTATTTAATTTAAAATTTAGGCTTTGATTTTAGTACTGACTTACCCCTGTACATCATACTTTTCCTGTTAGCAATAAAGTCATGTATCATCTATCTAACTCCATTCTGGAAAAATTTTTTTAATTGAAATAACATGACTTTCAGTCCAAACCAGAAGTTTTTCAAGTTAATTGGAGCCTCCTGTCCCTAAATTTCCATATCTGGTCTCGACTTTCATCTATCTAACTGTTTTGAGATTAAGGAAGGACAGACAGGTGCCAATGGGAATTAATAGGCTTGCAATTTGAAAATTGCAGCCAATTAAACTAATTTGAACACACATTAATGATTTAATTATTATTTGAAACAGTGACCTCTCAATAAAGGACTTCATCAAAACATTCAACACAAATAAAGCAGGCATTACTCTCAAAATGGATCAGAAAAGTTCATCAGAAGTGAACTTTTTGAATGTAACATTTTTGTATCAAAAAAGCAATATTGTACTAAAGTGTACAGAAAACCAGATAACATTGGTGCATATATTCACTGGTACTCCATGATTCCATAGCTCATAAGGTGGCAGCATATAGAACCCTACTGAAAAGAACAGTCACTCACTCAACCTACAGTTGGCACAGGAAACAAGATCATGTTTATAATCAATGCAGCATGTTTGCATAGGGCTCACAAAAAGTGATATAGGGAGTTGGTAAAACTTATCTAAATCAAACAGATAGACATAAAAGGCAATCTACAATTGAAATAAAAAATAAAGAAGTTAAAAAACATTGCATAGCGTCAGGCAAAACTATAACAGGGATGATAACACTGCTAGTGAAAAAATAAATCCAAGTAATGATTAAAATATTTCTCTTGATCATACAGATAATCAGAACAGAGAGTGGCATAAGTTAAAAAGCTGGGAATCTATGTGATCAGATTAAGCAAACTGAGTAACAAATTTTTCTACATAGGCTCCATTTACAGATCAGTGAGTCTCAGTCAAAGAGTATTTTGAATCCATTATCTGATACCCCATGAACAGCATGATCTTAATGTAATGGGTCCTAGAGAAAGAAGTAGAAGTATGTTGGAAGCAACCCATAGTACTTAGAAGCTGGTAGGACATTAAGAATATAAGAGTTCTGGAACAATGTTTCATTTACATCTTTTGTTCCAAAACATTGTTCCAAAAATGTTACATTCAAAAAGCATCAAAACATCATTAATGCATAAGACTTGAAAAACTGAAAACCAGATGGATGGGAGTACTAGAAACAAGAAATTGGGAGGATATAGTTAACACTTGCAGACAGAAAAATGAAAGAGGCAGTTTGATATAAGTGTGAAAAATTAATATTTCTAGCTGATCTAAGATGTTAATACTGTATATGTGTGGGATTTGATTTTAACAAATTAGAATGAAAATGTATTGTTTGACCCATCAAAAACAATATAAAATGTTCAAATTCAGTTGGAAAATTGACTTATATTTATTAAGAAGCTGAAGCTGTCTAAAACAGAACAAAAATGTTCCTTTGTAGTAAATTTAAATAGTTGGCTACCTGAAATTAAGCATTTAATACAAATAATTTTTAAACACAAAATCTATGGGTTATCGTCATGAAATTATAGTATGTATATATACTGTACATAAATACATATATATGTTTTTGATCTTGAGGTAATTTTTAAACATTAAGAAAAAATAGTTATAACTTAAACTTATATTTGTATTTTTACAGCAAATGCTTTCAGAAACATTGACTATCAAGGGTATGCCAATAAAGCAGTCACACGGATTCCTCAAGAATCCATTGAAGCTATTAAATCCTACCTTACAAGTCGTGAAAATAACATTGTAAAGTACCAATATACTGGTCCCCATCCATTCTATTGGCAAAATCTGTTCCAGGTAAATATATTTCAGAAATTTATAGTTAACAAAATGTTTACATAATAATTTCTTTAAAATTTATTCTTAAGAGTGCAGTTTTTTTTATTAATGAAACTGATGAATGATCACAGTTAATGGTTTTCAAATAGTTCATTAATTTTATATTGTTTAAATTAATCATTTTCCTTTAGTACAATTAGAATATCTTTTCATAATGTGTTTTTCATTATTTATATATTCATTTTTTTTAATGATATAAATGACATTTTGAAATTAATTTAAGCTGTATTGATTTTCCAATTTGTTTATCTACAGACATAAATACAATAATTTAGTGATACTTTCTCTTCATATCTACAGTACATGTTATAGAAATTATGCTATAATGAAATTAAAGAAAGAAAAAATATTCACCAATGTTTTATCATTTTTTTTTTATATACATTATGCAAGTATAAAGGGATTTATTGCAGAATAGTTGACAAAGTGACAGAAAGACATTTAAAAAAAGAACAATTTTGCTAAGAATATTATGAAGTAATTCAAATATATCATGCATTATATTTATAGAATTGTGATAATGGCTGCAAAATGAGAATTACAAAGGTACATTAATAAATAATAATATCTATTTCGCATAAAGTATAACAGTTCTTTGGCATACCAGTTATTCACAGTCCCAGTATACAAGTTTACAAAATATATGCCGTACAAAAGTTGAGAGAATGAGCAGTTATTAACACTATTCTCGCGACACCAATAATTACCGAATATTTTATAACAAATATAAAACAAACTACAGAACAACTAAATGCTTACAACTAACTAAATCTAAGAAAGAAGGAAATCAGTAGACGGAAAAAGACAATAGAAGTAAGGATAGGTGAAAGTGGGTACCCAATTGTCAATGGTGATCTTGTGGTGATGAAAATTCCAAATCGTTTCCTTTCTTGGAGATGATGGATAAATTCTGAGTTTCATCAAATTCACTTTGATGGTGATTGGGGTGGGAGTCTTTATGATTTCTTTTTACCAAATTTACCTTGATTCTTGCTTAGGCCTCCTTTTGTCTCTATTTGCTGCCAAAAATGAACTAGAGAGTACTCTTCTTATGTCCAACCTTTTCAATGTCCCAGCAAAGAATGTCCCTTGTCTTTCTGTTAAGCCCTAGGCTTCCTTCCTTCCCTTTGTTCAACAGGATTAGTCACCACCACACAAGAATAAAGGGTTGAGAAAGAATTTTCTGGAAGGGACAGACAATAGAAGGAAGAAAGAAGGGAACTTATATAAAAATTAAAATAAAGTCTATATAAAATATGGCATACAGTCACAGAATAAATAAATCCTTAGTTTGGTTTTAAACCAAGCTAAAACTTTCTTTCAACATCCAGAAATTTCTGGAAATAAGAGAATAATGCATTGGTCTGTAAAGAAACTATGTGGGACACTAATGTAACCATGGATTTTATAGTGTTATTTCCTAAACAAGAAGAAATATGAATCCTTTTTGACTTGTTCAATATGTTGTTACTTTTCAAAATATGTTGTTAATACATAACTTTAATAAAGTTTATGTTTTTATAGATTGTTAATTCATATCAATTTGGGATTAAATATAGTTAAAATGTTTTCTTTGCATCTCCTTACAATAAATTTGCGTCTAAAATGCTCATTAAAATAAAGGCTTTGGAGATTCACAGAGTAAATATTTCTGAAACCAAATCCAAATCATCAGATCATTCATTCAAAAATGATTCAAAAAGAAAAGTTTTTTAAAGTTAAACAACAACAAAGTTAAACAAATCTAACATTTTCTTTTAATATGGTGTGTAGAGAAATATTGTTTTGTTAAAGTAGGATTGATTAATCTAGCAATTTCAAGATTTATGCCTATTGTATATTATTGTTTAAAAATATATTATTTAATATTCTTACTCTTTTATTTCTTAGGTTCCTCAACCATGGGAAGGAACTTATAGAAGTCCAGTTTTCTATCTCTTACCTCATTTAAATAAAGAAATTCTTTTTAAAAGGAGATATATAGTATCACCAATTCATAAAACAGCTATGATATTTGGTACAAGCCATATGTATACTTTTGATGGAAAAATGTATGAATTTCCAGATTTTCCAGGTTCAGACTGTACTTATATGTTGGCTCATGATGTCAGAGAATCAACATTCTCTGTTCTTTTATCTGAACAAAAACTTCATATATTATTCCCTGAAGTAACTGTAACTCTTGATAGAGATAATAAAATATATTTAAATAATAGCCGTCAAGAAAGTGGAGTACCAATAGAAACTCCAAATGGGTGAGTTATTTTGAAAAAATATAAAAATTTATTACTGTCAATGCTTAAATTTATTTATACATTCTTTTAGAAAAGTATTTGTTACTCGTGAAGGTGGCATCGTATCTATAAATTCTATTGGCTTAAAGGTTCTTTGTAATTCTCAGAGATCATTTTGCGTTTTTATACTTGATCCTTTATATCATAGTGGAACAATAGGCTTATTAGGAAATGCAGATGGTGAAGCCTATAATGACTTTTCTGTAAGTAAATTATCCATTTTTTAAAATTCAATATACAGTAAAGTGTCGATTATCCGAAAGTCAATCATCCGAAAGAATTCCAGTTGGCAAATTTAAATTTTCGCCAGTGCTGTGGCACTGCAATCTTTGGCTATGTCTTGGGCTACTCAAATATTTTACGTTTTTGATACTAAATTAACTTCTGAAGTATAATTTTTTATTGTTTTTATATTTTTCAATATATTNATAAATGCCTAACCCTTTTGGATCCACTCTTGGATGTGTCAGTGTAGTTCCTTTACTTTTGCTTAAATTATTTTAAAATCAAAATTAAACTATATAGAGTTCTTTAAAATAGTTTATTAATTTATTTTTATTATATTATTATAAACTATGAATTTTTCTGATGCTTTTGGATATTTCATGTTCACCTTCAAAAAACTCATACTTTGCAAAGTTGATTCAAAACTTCACAACATACTTTTAATTTTGAAAACAAATCTAAAAAATATCAAATCAAAAATGATCTTATAAATTATATTATTAATTATTATCAGATAATTCCTATGTATCTAATAATATACCATTATCATTAATATATATAATATAAAATGTTGATAAGAAAGAAAGAAATATTATTCTTAAAGTTATAACTATTTTTAATAAGCTTATCCTCATTATGTCTTATAATGCAAAAGTAGAAACAGTTTTATTAAAAACTGCATCATAATGAAATTATAGATTCAAGATCACAGTAATTTTTCTTTACTTCAAATGCTATATATCAAGCACACTATTGTACAAGTTGGGAAGTTGCCTCATAGATTAATACTGCACAGTTTTCTTATATACTAATATTGCATTTTCATTTTGCAGTCCATCATTTTCATAGAATTCAGTTATTGCCTGAAAAATACTAACATATAATATGCTAGTAGTACCAATGCAAGCAAACATTAATTACTAGTAAAATAAATGTTTTTGTAGCATGTAAGGTAAAATTCCCAAGCTAAAATTCTACAATATACTTAATTAGTTTTAAGCAAAGTTAATGTTTTACATTTTGAATTTATAATTGCATTACAATATGATTTTTAATCAAACTGTCTTAGCATTAAATAGATGATAAAATAAAATTTTAAGTGAAGAAACAGCAATTTGATTAGTAAAACTTAAAAATTAGTTAAATGTAGCAGTTACAATATTATCATTTCTAATTCTTGTCAACATATTCTAAATTTATAGTCTCAAATTGCAATTGAATTTCAATTTAAAGAATTTCCTAGGCCAAAAATTACATGAATAATTGCCTTATTAAATTGTCTTGTAATATCATCTATATATTAATATCTAAATTTTCTGATACATATGTATTTTTTCAGTCATACAATTCAATAATCAGACTATTGAAATCATTATGTTTTAACTTTATGTGATATTTGTTATAATTACAATGTAATTCTTATTTTATCTAAATCTGATTTCAGACCTATCTGTGTGGATTAAAACTACAGTATCTGGAAGATCTACTGCACAAGTACAGTCTTACACTTTACACCTTTTCTGATTTTGAGTCAGTTGATAAGGGAAAGAAAGTTTATGGTCTAAAATCCGATGGAAAAGTGCTTCATCAAGGAAAGAAAGAAACATATATGGATTATCCAGAAACAGAGGCTGCTAAATTATCTGCAGACACAAAAGGTTCCATTCTCTTAAAGAGATATGTTGAGGCTAACGAACCTCGACAATTCTTCAAAATTGCAGCAGAACAGTTTTATGCAAAAGTTGAGGAAGAGTCTTCAAAGTGTAGAAAATGCATATGGAAAGTAAACAATTGGGGGGACATTCAGAATGAATGTAGTGTTGCTGATGAATGTAAAGACAAGTGAAGTAGAATCAAAACTTCACAACATAGTAAGTTCCCAGAAACATTAAAAGCATTTACAGAAGAAGATATGATATCATTTCAGATTTCTTAAAATAGTTTCAAAATGAACTATTTTAATTTTATACTTGGAAAAAATTCACAGAAAATTTGAAATTATAAAATGATATATTTTTTAAAATGTTCTCATAAATATCGATCACATTTATTTCATCACCATTTAGTATTAGGAAATATTTGTATTTTTAAAGTTTTTTAAACATATTGTAAATTACTTAATGGAATTTACATTAGTTGTGTTGTTTTGTTAAAGGATGATCAGAAATAGTTTTTGTAACAGAAAAATGATTTTTATCAGAAATTCAATAAAAGTGTAAGATAAGTACTTTATTAAATGAGTCTACTTACTTAACTTTCTCATCAGTTATATTACGTCATAAATAAAACTGATTAGGAAACTATATCATTGATTTCTTATGACTAAGCAATTATTTATTGTGACATTGTCACGATGCTGGATTGCAATTTTTTGTCACAATGCCCTCAATTTGAGTAGTGTCTTGCTGTATATACTGTGTCATACTTTTCTTGTTAATGGAGTCATGCTGATCATCTAACTAACTCCATTTTCAAGAGAAAACTTTTGAATTGAAATAACATGAATTCAAACTGGATGTTTGTATATAGTTAATTGGGGCTTCCTGCCCCTAAGCTTCCATATCTGGTCTTGACTTTCATCAATCTAACTCCATTCTCAAGATTAATGGATATCCCCTTGCATTAATTAGTATGTTATATCAAGGTTTTACTATAATGTAAGAATATCATTATAAGTCTGGGTGTGTTTCTTTTAAATTCTACTGATTTTGGAATTTGATTTTTGTTACAAACTGCCAAAAAAAGATTTTCTATCATACCCTGAGAAAACCTCCCCACTAAAAAGTAATGAAACTTATAAACATTTAAGTACAAATCTTAATGATCTAATGTTGTGTTTAAAGATTACACAATATCTTTTTGCACAGGTTTCCATACAATATTTATGTTGCCAATTTTTAAATTCTTAAAAATTTGCAAATTCTTTAAGTGAAGATATTGCTTAATTATATGATTCAATGAAAGTATGACTTAATCCTTGTGTACAAGTATGAGAATTCATATTATGAACCACTGTCCATAGTCTGTGTAAACCAAGCAATTGGATGAGTTAATTTATCTTATTTGCTTACTTCCATAAAATATCTCAGAGCTACAGCTATATTATGATTCATTAGTTAATGAACCAACTTTCATTTTATCATAATGACTGATATCAACACAGTTTCTGTGGAGCTATGGAACCAATCTCAGCTCTCTTTGTTCATCTAAATCAATGATTCCAAAACTTTTTTGACCCAGTCTCCATAAACTTAGAACCAATGCCCCTAATCCATTTTCCTTTGTGTGAGAAAGACTTGGAAATATTCTCAGAAAAACTTTTCTATGAACCTCACACTTTGTGTCCTTACCATACATTGTTCTTCACATCTGGAAACCATTAAACACATGTTCTTCTGGCCCATTTCCACACCAATGTTTCTTCTTGCTTGTTTTTATGGAGGAAAATAGAATGGTAGTCAGTGACCTCCCCAATCCTTGCCTATAGTTACTGACAACCTTTCCCTTTCCTCTATTAAAATGGGTAAGAAGAAACATTCTCACTTATCCTCCCAAAAAACCCCAATCCTTGATATGGTCACCATTCAATCAGTACCCTGCACCTTGCTTCTTTTCACCTCCTAGATTTAATCACCCACCCACTTTGGGAACCACTGATCTAAATTAATGAGCTTATGAATATACAGTAATGATATTTCATTTGATGGGAAATTATATTTCTGTATAGCATCCATTGACAAAAATATAGAATTACCATCAATAAAACAGTTTCTGATATTTTATAATGGATGTGAAAAATTAGGTATGAAAAAAGAACTGAGACATATAAAGTGCCTGTAAAATGGTATCCAGTAACTTGTTTCTATCTAGTGCTTATGCCACCTAACAGAAAAACTAAATCACACATAGACAGCTTTTCAAAAGTGCTTCCAGGTGAATGGCGAAGCAAGTCCCCTAAAATGTATCCAGTTGTATTCAAATGAAATCCTTCAGAAGTAGCCATTTCATCAAACCATTCAATTACTTTAAGTGAAAATTAAAACTGCTTTCTAAAGGATGCAATGCTGCAATTATAATTGAGTTGATCAAAAAATAGAGTCCTAATATCATATGACTACATAGACCACTGATGGTCCCCAGTTATCAGTAAATGGCACAAAAAAGATTGTTGCTATTATATCTAGGGTTTAATCATATGTAGAGTGCTTATAATAATATGGCAGATGAAAATGGCATAAGTTTGCATTTAACATTCTAAAGTTGTAACATTGTATATATCAACTATTGTATCTATTTATTAACAAAATAAAATTGAGTGGTATATAATATATTAGCATACACAGGAGAAGAAACTAAATGGAATTTTATTGAAAGAGAAGCTGTGTTTGACACACATCTTTTGGTCTTCAAGACACTGTTCAGAAGATGATATCAAAGTCGAAAGTTTTGTGTTTCAAATCATCTAATGCAGTGTTTCTCAACCTCTAATGAATCGTCAGCCCCTTCAACGTAGTATCAACCCCTTCGATAAAACCGTTATGTAGTATTGCCCCCTTCACTTCAAAATTCCGATGCCGAGGGCCAAGGCTAACGCCAAATTCGTACTGCATTGAATAGACTAGTGACTAGTATAATGTTATTTGTTTAATTATTGTACGATATAACGAATAAAATATCTAATTATTCTTAATATAATGTTTTACTACATAGCCCAGAAAATTGTTTTTCGCCCCCCAAAATATAAATTGTTACTAATCGCCCCCTCAACATGGAAAAACACCCACATGTTTATTTATTTAACTTTAAACCCACATGTCGGGCCACGCACCTATTTTTTTTTTTTTTTTAACTAAAGTAAACAAGCAAGCGTGCTACAGCTTCAACCACATCGTCGCTTCCCAGTAGGTGAGATCATGGTTACGTTACGCTTGCCTGGTTTAATGTAAAAAAAAAAAACACAAAAAATAAGTATATTTATTTTTTTGAAGAAAATAAAACATAATCGAGAATCAAACAT